ATTTTTAAATACATTTCCTATTTATTCCTATGTAAAAACTTCGACCCCCTCTTGCGGCCCCACCCTACCCCCGGGGTTCATATCATGAAGTATGTCATGAAGCTTTCAAATAAGTTTCATCTTTCTTGGCCCAGTTGTTCTTGAGAAGAAGATGTTTAAAAGAAGCCACCAAATTTTCATGAATTCTTAATTATCTCCCCTGGAAAGAGGGCATGGCACTTCCTGTGAACAAACTTAAATTCACCCAAGGATGCTTTGTGGCAAATTTGGTTGAAATTGGCCCAGTGGTTCTTGAGAAGAAGTCGAAAATGTGAAAAGTTTACGGACTACAAACGGACGCCGGAAACTCTTTGATCAGAAAAGCTCACTTGAGCCTTCGGCTCAGGTGAGCTAAAAATTACAAAATGACAAGTTGTAATATTGTAATTTTATATTTACTTCCATCCCGTAAATTCAAAAATTACAATATAACAGTAATATAATTCAATCACTAGTGAACTCTTGTTTGCAATATAAAAAAAGGATAATGGCAAAATTGTCATTTTTATTGAATAAAGGGGTGTAAAATATAGGCTGGCATCTAGAGTTAGTGTGCTTAGTTCTTTGCTATACTCTCCCAATGGCCTTCTTTTAAAACTTACTGATGAACTAGTGGTATTTTATGTTCGAGTAAGTATCAGGGTGTTGTGAATTCTCAGATGCAGGTCTCTGGAACTAGGCAAGTAATTTTATTCAGTGATAAAACTCTAAAGTAAATGGGGGACCATTTAATGTCAAAAACGACTGGGCATTAATATTGTTTCTTCTACAACACAAGGGTTTTCCAAAAAGAATAAAAAACCGGGTATTTAAGGCGAGATATTAACTCGCATGATTCCGCGGACATCAAATCAACATTTAATAAACGAATTAGAGACAATGTTCAGCAATATCCCTCCTCCTCTCCCTTTGACCAACGTTTAATATATGTCAATTTTTGTAACGTTGATATTTGTAATTTTAATGTGTACCATGGCGTTGAATATAGTATACCCATGTTTTGTTTGAAAGTTCCCTTCTCAAAATTGCTATTTTTGCAACCATGCAAAACTGTTCATTGAAATAAAAATACTAAAATATTGAATTTTTTATCTTGGTGTTCTTTACATGTGTGCTAAATTTTATTGAAGTCAGGCAAAAACTGTAGGAGGGAAAGCGATTTGAAAATTGCTGAATATAGTATACCCGTGTTTTGTAAGGAAGTCTCGTTCTCAAAATTGCTATTTTGTAACCATGGCAACACTGTTCATTGAAATAAAAATACTAAAATATTGAATTTTTTATCTTGGTGTTCTTTACATGTGTACCAAATTTTATTGAAGTCAGGCAAAAACTGTAGGAGGGAAAGCGATTTGAAAATTGCTGAATATAGTATACCCGTGTTTTGTAAGGAAGTCTCGTTCTCAAAATTGCTATTTTGTAACCATGGCAACACTGTTCATTGAAATAAAAATACTAAAATATTGAATTTTTTATCTTGGTGTTCTTTACATGTGTACTAAATTTTATTGAAGTTAGGCAAAAACTGTAGGAGGGAAAGCGATTTGAAAATTGCTGAATATAGTATACCCGTGTTTTGTAAGGAAGTCTCGTTCTCAAAATTGCTATTTTGTAACCATGGCAACACTGTTCATTGAAATAAAAAACTAAAATAAAATTGTGTATCTAAGTACACTCTAAAAGTGTACCAAATTTTATTGAAGCCAGGTAAAAACTGTAGGAGGGAAAGCGATTTGTAAATTGCTTATAATTACGACAATCACACAGTTGTAAAGCCAAAGTCTAATACACGGACATTGTGTAATTGTATAAACTCTTTCTATCAAATAAAATAGACCAGTATAACTAAAACTAATTGTTTGTATGCTTTGTTTTAATAGTATCACTAAATTCTCTGTTATGGAAACATTATTTGTAGATTTGTTTGTATTTCTGTGATGTAAAAAGGTGGAAAACACATATTTTGTCAATTATGGGTCTCAAACGTTGCCATGGCAACCAGGACGTCGTTTTACTCTGCATAATTAAATACTTTAAGATTTTACCTTTCAGAAAATGTACAGATTGCTTTATGTAAAAGTGACTAGAAAATGTTAAAATTTCAATTTGAAATTTTTAGGCAGTTTTGCAGAAAAAAATGCAAAATCTCTGGTAGTTAAAGGTTAATTAATTGCTTTAAATCTCATTCCCACTTTCATTTTCAGAAAACATTATACTATTCAACGGATGTGTTTTTAGGACGTTTTGATTTATTAAAGTTTAACTGGTATGTATTGCAATTGAATTATTATTTGAATGTAAAATTTAGTATTGTTAATTTTAGGTCATTTTATGAATGTATGCCAATTATCTGTGTAAATGAAACTCTTATAAGAGCATTGCAAGAGAGAGAGAGAGAGAGAGAGAGAGAGAGAGAGAGACTCTTGGAAAAGACTTATCTGTAATACCTTGTTTCACAAGGCATGGATTTGAAAGTAGACTTTGACTTCTGAAGTTTGATGTCAAATAGGAAGCTTTAGTAAGTCGTTTTAAGAGGATAACTGTTTGATGTTACGGATTCCGAATGTTTTCTTTGTTCTATCATATGCTGAAATGTCATATCGACAGATGGACCTAAGATTTAGCGGACATATTTTCATTACCATATAGCGGTCTGTGACTTTCCAGACGCCTTTCGTTGACTGTTCAGTATCCTTTCAGTGGTTATACAAGTTTTTTTCAGGGGTCTAACAGACGTACTTTACTAGCGTCATTGTACAGTTTTAATATTAAACAACTTTTGATGCATATCCGAGACTCTTAGTCTTGAAAACTTATTAAGGTGGATATTTATGCATAATTGTTGGTTTTCTGATTTAGACTGCTTTTTGAAATTCTGAATTGTGATTTTTAATACATACTTGCGAAAAAAAAAAAGAAACAGTGCACACGTTTAGATTTTAAGAAACATAAAAAAGATACCATATAGCCGTTTTATTGGCGGGTCACATATTTGGTTGCTGGTTTTGGTCTATAAGGTATAAAATTAAATCTGTTGGACATACTTTGGTGAATCATATCTCATATCTGGAGTGTATTGTTTTTTGACTGTAGTGTTTACTTTTATTGATCAGCTTCAACGAAAGAAATGTGTGTAAAAATATGAAAGTTACTAGGCTTTCTTCAAACATTTACATATGTATGTACATAGTCACCCACAATTTACACACACAACTCAAGTATCCACTAAGTTACTTTCTTGACAATAGTTGCAAAACAAGTATATGCAAAAGTACTTACATTTACCGATTTTTATTTGGTGAATCTCTATAAATCGTCAAAATAGGTCAAAACTATATCCTCGATAAAAGAAAAAGATACTCAGTTTAACGGTGAACGTATTTCAATTTTTGCTTACCACATTTATCAAACAAATTTTAAAACGTCTCATAACGTCGATTCCATTGCCATTTGTTTTTAGATAAGCTTAAAACTTAGTTAAGCTTAGTTGATGACACAGTGTTTTAAATGATTGCGGAATGTTATTCCAAATGTTAATCAAACAATGACCTTGATCAGCCTACGTCACTGGCTGATTTTATAAGCGGCGTAAATGTCTCCCCATTTAATCCCAGTCATGCTTGACTGGGATGAACAGTTGGTCAAGGCAAGATATCAATATTTTGATGATAAAGAAAGTCCCTGACTACAGGTCCGATATGTAGTTTTTCGTTGTCTTGTAACGTTATGTGATTTCCTCTTTTCTTTTGAACGGGATCACATGACGATGAATAATTTCATCTCAATAGTGTTCTCCGTCGGATTTACATTGATAATCTGTAGAGGGCTCCTTCAATGTGCAGATTTTCCACCCAATACCATTACGCTACCCCCCCCCCCTTCCCTTCAATTGTCACGTAACACAACCATGCGTGTTGGTACCGCTCCCAAGGACGACGATACACTCATAGGAGCCATCACTGCTGTCCAAATGAAATTTGAAATCATCAGTGAAGAGAATATTGGTCTACTCCTGTAGTCGCTGGTGTTTACTAACCTTGAAAAAGTCCGTGCAAACAGCCGAGTTCTTCCTTATTCAAACACATTTATTTAATCATTATCTAAAATTTATAAACACATACATCAGCACATAAATTGTCGACATGAATTCTATTTCAAATTCATCTCCTGAAAAATGATTGACTAGTAAAACAAAATATTTTTACATTTCATGAGTTAATGCTTTTAAGATAAATCAAGAAAAGAAAAAAAGTATTATCGAAATAGTTTATTTATAAAATTGAAATTGAATTTACTTCTTTTTATCCGTGAGACTATAAAAGGTCGGTGGTAAATATTCTTGCAAACTAATTCGATATATAAAAAAATCAAGAATATTCAGTCAAATATACACACATTGTTTCATATCTAAAATACTGGATATGGTTGAGATTAAACTTCAACAAGGAATAAATTTTCCTATTTGAAGAGTTGTAATGCTGGTGTTTCCCGCATAACTCTGTCATGATTTGTTTTCATTGCATTTCTCTGAGTGATGATTACAATATACTATTTAATTATTATTATTATTTTTTTTATTTAAGACTACTAAGTAGCAACCTCAAAATCATTTCATAATTTTGATTTTTCCGAGCCAATTTCAGTATTATCTCTATGTTTTGTGGATTCTTAGGAACTTTTCAATACAGACTGACAACCTCATGACCTTTCTGTCGGTGACAATTCTTTATCTGTTATTATATTTTTCATAACTGCTGTGGCAGGCAACACATTCTCGGAATACCCTTATTTATTTCGGTATATTTATATAACAATGTAAAATACATGCTGTTGATTACTTTTCCTGAAATCATTATCAAATTCAGAAGGACGTATACTGAAATACCCCAATATTTTACAAGATCCTTGAAACTCAAATACAAAGTTTTTTTTCTTACTTATTTTAGCAGGTTGTGATCTTAATGTCTGTGAACCTTGAAATGGACACTTCAGTATTCAGCAACCAGTGTAAAATACGACAATGTTCCCAGTGTCAGGGGGATGTTGAATTCTACTGTAACACGTGTAAACATAATCTGTGTATACAGTGTAAAGAGAAACATGTTATTGATCTAGATACCATATACCATGATGTTGTGTTTTATCGTGAAAAAAATGACTACATCCAAAAACAAGAGACCTGTGTGAGACATCCAGACATGGTCTATAGACGATACTGCAATTCATGTAAAATTCCTGTCTGCTTTAAATGTAGAGAACACTTGAAACACAAATTACAGGACTTAATATCAGCATATAAAAAATACCGACAACAATACAGAGAAACTATTGACAACATCAGAAGTGAGACTCTCTATAACAGCTGTGTTCTCCTTGACGGAATCAAAACCGATTTAAAAATTGTTCACAAGGAAATTTTCAACAGTCAATCAGAGATGTCAACAAAAGCCGCTAGATTAAAGAAGATAATTGACACTGTGATATGTGATGCTAAAATTGGATATAGAACATACCTTCATAGATTTCTAATCCTGAAAAGGAAAATAAATGCGCATCATGTCATCATAGAAAACTATGAATACTTATTTGAACTGTCAGCATACAGACCTGTAAGATTCCTCTTATTTCTAAAGAAAACCCGCGTCCCTAAGAAAAAGGACAGTCCTGATCTCACACAGTACGCTCTGCTCTCCCTGACCGAAGAAATCAGCATTAAGGTTGTGATTAAATTACTGAATGAATTCCAAATGATGGATAGAAGAAAAAGACAAGTAAGAAATGAATGTGTGCTAAAACTGATGTCTACACCCGTGTTTCACAAATATGTCACGGTGACAAGTGCCAGTAGTGTAACACACATTTCTCGTGCGACGTCAGACCGATTCTGGACCAGTGATGATAAAAATCTCATCTTGATAAACACAGAAGGTGAGACCCTATACCATTTGTCAGATATACATAGTTATTATGAAGGGATACACCCGGTGAACAATACCTGTGATCTAATTTTTATAGGCAAGGATCATCAAATTAAAAAACTATCTAAAGATGACAGAACAAAGATATCATTTATAAAGAATACGAAATCATGGGACCCACAATGTGTCTACTGCTCCCCCTCCAATGGAGATCTTCTGGTCGGAATGTGGAATACTCGTACATTTAAAGAAGGCAAGGTAACAAGATATAATAAAATGGGACAAGACATACAGACAATACAACACAACAACACAGGTAAAGTACTGTACATGCATCCTAGATACATCACAGAGAACCTTAATGGAGATGTTATTGTGTGTGACTTTTACCGTGCTGTAGTGGTGACAAAGCGTGGAGGAGGGTATCGCTTCTCCTACAAAGGACCTTCCTCAGAATTACCGATGACACCATATGGAATATGTACAGACGCATTGTCAAACATTCTAGTTTGTGAACGTTTCACTAGCACAATCCATATGATTGACAAGGACGGCTGCTTCCTGTCAATGATAGAGACATACGAACAAGGAATAGACAATCTATGCTGCTTGAGTTATGATTACAAAACTCATCTTTTATGGGTTGGGTCAAGGAACAACAGATTGTCTGTATTCAGATACTTAGACCGGGCTATTTGACAGGTAAATGTACATAGTTAATTAGATATATGTACACATTCATACAACGAAGAGTGTTGATAATTTTCACGTTCACTCCCCTCCCACACACACAGAGAAATAGAAAAATGTACATAGTTAATGTAGGAACATGACAAACCCTTCTTAGGATTCTTCACCTGTGTACGAGGCCACTTACGACGGTGAGAAGTTTGTTCAGCTGTTGCTCATCGCCTTCAGCAAGGCATTCTATCATATTAATCACAATATGTTATTGGGGAAAAAAGGAAATAACGGCGTACAGCCAGAAGCTTTCTGTCCAACCATCAACAACAAGTGATAATTATCGATATGAAAAAATAAGAATAACCATCCGAGTTACAACAAACAGCTGAAAAGTGGTCCAAGAAAAAACCCACTCTACATCAATACTTCAGAAACAATGAACTTGTGATTTCATTTGGTAAGAAGCAGGAGATTACTCGTCTGATCATGGAAGGTGAAGAAAAAGAACGAGTAAACGAAACCAAATAACTATAAGTTATCAGCAACGACATAACATAGGATGCATGTGTATAATATATTGTAAAGATGACCTTCAAAAGACTTTTTTTACCTTCGCCGAATAAAATATCTAGAATTCATCAGAATTCCTCGAGGAGAGACGTGAAAATCTGTACTTGTCATTCCTTAAGAAGCTGGAAAATTCCGCAGACCGACTATATCGTCTTTTACCGTCAGTAACGAAATACCACAGTGCTTACAAATACCAAATTACAAGACTTACCGTTGTAAGCAATCATTTACAGTATCAGTGGGCAGTATATATATATGCCAGATGAAACGGGATGCTTGCGATGAAACGGAAACGTTAGCTTGCGCATGTACTAGAATGCTTGACAGAGCACACCAACGACAACTCGCTTTTAGTGCTATGCATCCCCGCCAGCAACAGTCTACCGGGACTTTATTCATGCATTCATAAAGACATTTCGCCCTTTGCTATATTACGTGATCAACGTACACTCAAAGTCTAGATGTCTTTAAATGATATCAGCTATAATTATAAGTGTATCCATGCTTAAGTTGTCCTCTTGTACACAAGTACTTTGACGAGTAAAAAAAAATATTGCAATCATAGCTATTTTCACTATGGTAATAATATAGTAGAAATGTTTATATCCACCAATTAAGACGGGAAATGTCTATGGTACAAGCAACTTATAGAGGATGAAGAATGAGGGGGTCCCTATTTCCTGTTAATCTTATAAAGTTCACATTCATTACATATGTGAATTGCATAATTCTGAGGTTAATGATGAAGGCTATATTACAATAAAAGATGCTTAAATGATAAGGCCATTCCATTTTTATTGATAATTACAGCTTAATTTAGCAAATCATGATGAAAAAGTACATGTTTCAATGTAAAGGAAACTTACTTTATTATACATAAGTTTAATACAACCTAGATTTCTGTTACAAATACATGCATATGGGTCAACGTATTGCGTTTCTTTTTTAAGAACAGTAACATGTTAATTTATTTATTGCATATTTTAATTTTTTTGGTGTGAATAATCTTATGCTTCTCTTATGTTATATGTTAATTATTTTTTCAAATTTTTGATTAATAAATGTTTGATGTGTACTGTGATTATGTAATTTCAGCTGTCTTGTTGTCACATAAACACTTACATACTCAGTGACAAATCATTGAAGATAGACAATAGACATAGTTTGATAACTGGATTATTAAAATAAAGACACATATTTATTCATGCTTATTTAACGACAATTATACATGTAAATTTTGATGATCATTAAATGGAACTTTAACTGAATGCACTTTGCCCCGATGTTTTTATTTCATCACAAAAAGAATTTTATTATAAACAAAGTGACTTTTCTGCAGATATTTTCGTTATTTTAGCGAAAAAAATTGGTTCTTGGAGATTTGAAGAGCGTGTTTGATGGAATGTTGAGTTGTTATCTTTTTTAAAATTTCATTTTGTGCACGGAAAACATGAAGTCGTGGATCATTTCCCATATTTACCACAAAACACCGAAAAATGAACTCAAAGAGAAATGAATGATTTCTAGAACTGTATCTGAATTCTTTAATATAAGAATTAAATATTTCTCATTTCGTATTATAATTGTTGAATAATTTGGACTCGTAAGAAATACAGCATAAAATGGAGCTATAAAAATACAATTAATAGATGTCTTGTGCTAATTTTTAATCTCACTGAGGTCGGAATTCTTGAATTACACGAAGCTTTTAAGGCTAGTAATGAAAAATGCCCAAAAATAACATTTCCTTTAAAAAATATATACAATCAAGGTAAAGATACGAAATATTGGTCACTATGAAATTTTTTTAAACAATTCGAAAAATGTAAACACGAAAAAACAAGGACCGTGAAAACATCAGGTGTGGAGATTATGTAACTAAGAGGAGTAAATAGCACCCTTAATCGGTAACATTCAGCATGAACATTCTGTATTGATCATATTTTCGGGAGTAATGCATAATCAAAATAAGTTCATAAAGTATGGCCTAACAGTTCGTATAAAAAAATTAATTCAAAATACGACCCAGCAATAGGTTGTTTAGCAAATAATGCCATTAAATGGACTATAAAATCTGCAAAATGCTGATTTTAAACACGTTTGTGAAAGCCCTTAAGCCCTAAAGACATCAACTTATTTGTCAGTAGCAAGCAATTTGTTTTTGAAACGATCATACCAATATATCTAAAAAACAATTCTGTTTGAAGTCTCTTGTTACTCTCTATACGAGTTTCAAAATAGTCTTTAAAGAATGGGGATGCAAACCTAATGTTACAAAATCTTTACGTTATTCACCAAACATATTAATATCTTAAAATCTGGAATATATTTTTATATCATTTGAATAGAATATTTTTAAAAAAGGATGATACATTGATTCACTTATATCCTTGTGAAAAAGACATATGTACATAAAGCGATGTCAAATTAATATAACTGAGTATGCAAGATATATTAGAAATTCTTTCATAAAAAGTTTTGTAGGAGTTGATTTTTAAACATTGGACAATACATTATAATGACTCTAATACCAAAACTATTTAAGAAAAACAAAATTGAGTTTCGTTCCTGAGTGAAGTAGATGGAGAGGATTTAAATCCATCAGGCACCTAGCAGACATGCTATAGATCAGACCATTGAATCTCTCCTAACTTAAGATATGTTGTAAGATTTCTCCTAAAGTTAAGACATCCTAAGAGGGGTTTTGGATATATGTTATCTAATATTTATACCTTGTAAACTACATGTACTTGTAGAAGCAAAGCTGGAGCTGGATAGATCCTGAAGGGTCTAATCCGCATGAGACTCCCTCAGTAGCTGTTGTCTCGATAATTCCATAATTTTGTTTAGGAGTGACGTAAGCTAGGGAGGTTTCAGTCCTCAATCGGTCTTCACGACTCTCTCTTCGATTTTAGAAAATTCTGTTTTACGTTTCACTGACATAGGTTGAACATTATTTCTTTTTAAATTCTTCCACAATTCTTTATATCCCGATGACACACAGCGTACACTTTCTCGCAGATCCCCTCCAAATCACTTTAAAAAGAAAAAATATTGGTCACAAGATAAGTATTTGCTAAAAGTAATACATGTATTTTTCTCAACTTTGTCCAGGAGTATCTGAAGCTCCATTTCGTAGAAGTTGGGATTTCTTTTTCTGCACAAATATATTTTTATTTGATTTTCTTTTTGAATATTGCTAAATATGACGTCATTTTCTACTATGACGTCACAATTTAAATACCCTCAGGACGAAAAAAAAAATCCACATGAAAAACCGTCTCAACAGAATACTTGAATTCGAAATATCAGGAAAAAGAAGTCTGACAAAACCCACAAATTCGTGCGGGAAGATGGAAAAGGTGGGGGGGGGGAGGGGGGGTGTTAATTGCTTTCTTGCTCTGACTTTTGCAAAAATGAAGGACCTGACCTTCTCAGCCTCAGAATAAAAATCTTCAAACAGAATTTAGATGAGATTTTATTTTTATCTTCTTCGTTTTGCTGTATACTAGATAAATTCATTAAAGGGGTTTCTCAATTGCTTCCTAACTGATATAAAGCAATGACAGCACCATCTCTATTGAGAAGTTGACAATTTGTAAAATTCTCAGTAGGAAATATAATAACCCATAGTGTACCCCACTAATGACGATACTTTCTTATAAGTATGCAGTGGAGGTTTGAAGTAATTTTTGAGGAAAAAGAGCTTACATCGGACTTAAATCTATGTCATACTTCGTAAAAGCAGAATTTTATCTACGACAACACTGACACTGAAAAAGAGATTATTGTGTCTTTATACAGACGAGATCTAGTAATATTTATACATTTTAAACACATTAATAGGTAGTGAAACTTGTATTACAACTCATACCGCATCAACAAGTAATTATTTCATCATACACACCACATATAATACTATTTTGAATCTTTGGTAATGTGCTACAATTAAAAAATAAGCAATAGTATCGAGAAACGGAAAGACATGTTGTAGGCCTATTGTGTACCCAAGATAGGACGTAATTTTTGTCTGGCAGAGACAAAGATCTTCTTCGTCATCTGCTCTAGATTGCACCATTTATTCTTTACCTTGTCTACAGTCCTCCTTTGCATCCCAAGACGTTGACAAAGTCGGTCACCTCCAACCATTATTACTTCTGCGTGAAGTTTGTTAGCAAGTTGCTCTCCTCAGCCTTCAATATCTCATCATTTTTTTTTCAAAGAAAACATTCATCCTAGGCACCTAATCCCACCTCTGGAATTTAAAGGGGTCTGTGGTTTCTGCCTTGTTTACATATTTGTATTGTTTGTAGGTTTTTGAGATCGATCACTTTTCGTTTGTTTGTTGTTTAACGTCTCTCTCGAGAATTTTCACTCATATGGAGACGCCAGCACTTCCCGGTGGAGAGCTACAAATTTTGACCTATACTCGGCACTCAGGGCAATTGATCAGTGACGGGTCTTTTTCGTGCCAGCAACTACTGCGACACGGGACATCGGTCCCACAATGAGATTCGAACCCGCGACGTAAGGATCAGATCGCTGTTCGTTATCTACTTATTTCTTCATACATATTACAAAATCGCATTAGAAAAGTAAATGGCAAAACATGAACTGTCTATCCTTTCGCTTTTAGTGTACTGGAAGTGATAATAGAATAAGAAATACTAAATAAAAAATATGATTTGGTTCTCTCTGACAAAGCTGGTATCTTGTCAAACAGCGGATATAATCGAAATAAATTAAAAGTTACAGTTTAGTGTG